GCGATTGCCATGCCCTGCGACAGACTCCGCCTCTTCTATTAATCATGCCCCTCGATTGACCATCGCTGAATGACGAGGAAATCATGCCAACACGTCGTGATGCAAAGAGATGCGACATCGATATTGAATAACTGCAAATGACATATGAAACAGCAGATGATGATCGTGTCTTGATTTGAAATCGACAAGCGGGAACTCGTCCAGGCGTCCGATTGCCGCGGCGTAACTCGTCCATCAGCGCCACTGAATGGTTCCCGGCTTTTCATTGCTGTCAACGTCAAGCGTGCCACCGTTTTCAGTTTTATTATTGGTCACGTCAGGTCAGTTGGTCACTAGGATTGCGATAATGGCCGTATTCTGAACAAAAAGGTAAAAGATGAAATATTCGGTCCGCTTATTTTTCGATCTATTTAGTGATTCGCCATGCATTCTTCTTTCCCTCAAGATGAACAATGCTTGTTCGTAATTAGGTCTACACAATAACTGCGCGGCCGACAGATGGATAAGTTGGTCTTTATCCTCCCAAGTCAGTCTGGTACCAATACCCTACGCCGGCGAGGGAAAATCTGTTTCCGCTGGCGGAATTTGAGCCTAGATTCGGTCCCACTATACAATCTCCGCTTGCCTTCTGAATATACGGCAGTGACCTATATTGTGACCCCACATTGCTTGAAGGGTTATGGGAAAGTGCGCTGAAGTGGATAGTCGTGTGCAACCGACTGATGTTGCCCTCTCAAATCCGAAATGCTTAAGAATCTAACTCATTCCGGACCCCTCCTAGTTTGACGGTCCAACCGTGACCATTTTTTGCTCAGAAAGTCACCGTTCTGTTTTCAGGGGTTAACGCCGTCATCGGCTTCTTCTATCGTGCCGTCATGATGGGTGATATCTCCGATATGGCATGGAAGTATTTTGCGCTTTCGGTACCTGTGGCGGCCGTCTCGGGACCAGTGGGCAGCTTCCTCGGCTCTCATCTCCACCGACAAGTGAGCTCTTCCATGCCCTTATCTGACACCACAAATTGGGACGCCTCATAAGGCCTAAATGTCAACATATTTACCTTCCTGCTGACGAAACCGTCGGTTGCGATATAATCCGGTCCGAGAGGTACGTTCTACAGATCACGCGTCGCCTACCCGACTTCCTCAACATCAAAAGCGGCCATCGTATTTGGTGGAATGGTGTTTTTTACGATCATCTCAAAAGCCGGCCAAAAAATCATGAGAAATGTCGAAGAGAAGCAACAGCTGAAAGAACGACGACTGGCCGGAGACGTCTGATTGGTCGGCGGCGATGCTTGGTTGACTGCAAGTTGTGATTTCCTCATGACCCATGTTTTTTTTGCCTCAATTATCAGTGTGAATTTTGTTCCCAGATGTACATAAGTCCATTTGAACTTTTTAATGATCTCTGAAATAAATTTTATTAACTGTCTTCATTGAATGATTATTTTCTGGCATATTTAGGAAATCGCCTAATATTTGCTGTCGTTGATATTCAGAGCCAAAGAAAAAGGTCAGGCTCGGGGAATTTCAGAAAGCTCAATGTTCCCGGTTGCCGTGAATGCGCCGTGCACTTAGACGTCCAAATAAAGTCATTCGAAAGAATCGGAGAATTCTGCTGTGAACTGACGGTGCCAGACGAGATTTCGGTACGTCATCTGCTCGGAAAAGTCAGGAAAACCCTGAAAATTTGAACATTGAATTTGGTCGGGAAGAGCTCGATCCACGGATTCTTTAAAGGTAAATTCCGAGCGCTACTTGCCATTACACCATCTCCGACCTCTATTACAAGCTTTAGGGCGGTTTCTCCAGTGTTTGCTTTTTCACCCTCAGCAAATTTAGCCACTACAGCTTCATAGGTGAGCCCCACAAGCCCCTAATTTTCTTGAAAGTCTGCCTGGGCAAGGTCATTACCCGCCGTGAAACCTCTGTTCATCAACAAAGGTTGCAGCAGTTTCCAGAAGGGTCCAACTTTTCTTTATACAACTACCAACGTAGGGTGCTATTTGCGATTTTAAGGGGGTTGCATTTGGGGTTGATATGCGAACCGTGAGCGGGGGGTAGTATTTGTAATAGTTGAGCTGGCCATGGTTCTTGGAGAAGAGGTCGTTTTCCTTTTGACGGGAAGTTGGCGATTTTTGCGAAATTCCCACGGAAAGGCATGAAAGCGACAAAATTAGAGTATTTACAATTTCTTTGGACTCAGCTCCTCCTGTTCTGAATGGAATATTCTGCTAGTAAAAGTTCGGAGTAAAGAGACCGAGATCTGCTGACCTTCTGTCCAAAATTCGAACCTCACCGGGATGAAGTGGCTCTGGCTCTTTTGAGCCTTGAGCTCTGCTCGTTACTGCCTCCTCCACTGCTGAACTGTGCCGTGAACGTGGAAGTTACGGTCATTGCTGGCACTGTCTTGTGCTTCGCAAGATTCTGAACATTCGGTCAGCCTTATAGCC